CATATTACTAAATTTCTGTTAGATCATTGGACAGAAGGGTTTGCACTGTCAATGTTTGAGTGCCTAGCCACTTTTTATGCTTTGATTTTGTAACTTTAACAACTATTGTTAAGATGACAATATGTAATGTATCAACTAGCGATTTTACGATGTTAATGTTTTTTTGAAGTCTGTATTCAATTTTTTTCTCATTTTTTCAATTTTCTCTTTTCTCATTTTTCTATTTTGTTTTTTTTTAATTTTCTCTTCTTTCTTTAAATAAAATTTTAAAGAAATTTTAAAAAAGAAGTGATCTTTAGATGGTGTAAAGGCAGAGAGACATCTTTGTCTCAGAAAAGTCTAGAACTGGAGGATTAAGTGGCATCAGGAAGGTCCTGATATCTTTCATCATTGTTGCTTCCTGCTGTCTGTCTCTCTCTCTCTCTCTCTCTCTCTCTCTCTCTCTCTCTCTCTCTCTCTCTCTCTCTGTGTCTCTCTCTATCCCCCACCTCCACTAGCCTCTACAGCTGGTCCAGCGTGCCCAGGTTTACATGACCTAGATTCAGCCTGGAGAGAGACAGCAATGTCTGTTCCCAAGGTTTAACTTCCTCAGTATAAGTTACAGCCTTAGTAACAGCTTGAGCAGAATGCCCACTTCCTCCTGCCACTATGGCAAAGGGTGGCAAGGGACACATGTCCCTCAAATGACCAGCCAGTGGGGTGGATGGGAGAGAGTACTCCCAGAGCAGGGCTGAGCAGTGACTCCTGGGTCTGGCCGCTCACCTGAGAGGACAGTGGTTTCCACGCTCCTCAAGGCCACTCCACCCAAACAGCCTGGCCCTGTCCTGTTTCAATGCCCTTACAACAAACCTCAAAGCTGCACCCTTGACTGCTGAAACGTCCTGAAGTGCATTCAGTGCATTGCTCCAGTGCTCTCAGAGCACCTGCAAACAATTGAGAGGAACGGTTCTCCACCCCAATCTGGGCTGGGATGACTTTGCCAGAGTTCAGACGACGCAATCAGAGAGAGAATTTTATTTAAACCTACATCCATCTGATTCTGAAAGCCCTTATTTGCTCATCTAAAATTAAACTTAAAATATAAAGACAGTGACTATATCATGTTTTAAACAAATCACACAAGCAAGCCCAGTAGGTAAAGGAGATAAAGGTTGACCTGTTTTGGCAGAGCCAGGCTACGAGAAGGATACTGCCTCCTGATATCAATGCCAGGGAGACTCTTTTGAACCTTGGAGTCCAGGGAATAGAAAAATCAGATATATTTCAGATTTTACTTGAAATACATTTGTGTTCAAGAATGCAGGACAATTAGGAGCAGTTGCTAAAGAAAAGACCATTTTTTCTCAAGGGACGAGACAAGGCACAGATTCTCTCAGCTCCTGGATGCAACTTTCCTTCCTCTTCCTAAAGGGTAGTTTTGCCTCCAAGCAAAAATTGTTAGAAGGGAAAATTATGTTCCCCTGCCCGTTAAAAGAGGTCCTTCAAGTCTCTTCACTCTGAGCCTTTCTGGAATCCAGTTTCCCATGCACAGTCTCCATAGGTAATTAATAATAATAAATAAAACAAAACTTTATTAATCAGAAAGTCAATGCATGCTGATGACTAGCCAATGCTACTGCTGGCACAAAAATCAAAAATGCCAAATGTTGTGACATGTGTGTCCCTGGGATGCAAATCCAACTGTGGTTTCATGGTAGTGAAAAGTCTCCCCATGAACTTTCCCCCCACATTTTTAGTCAACTCACAGAGACATCTGGCTCTGTGCTTTAGTTTTGTTTACTCTCCTACAAAGTTCCTTTGAGATGCTTAAAATAAAATTACACTCATAAAATCATACAGCTTACTGATTGAAAAGAGAAAACCATTACCAAGCTAGCCGCTTTGAAGAACTTCTACAAGAGAAGTGAATGTGTGATTCCACTGCAAGACGATGTAAGTTGCTAGCAATTCCACAAGTATAACAGGAAAACTTTTGTGGCTGATGTCACTTTAGAGAAAATTTCACTCAGTTTTTACTGGAATGGGATCCCAATGGCAATTTAACTATTTCAACAATTTAATTTTTAAAAAATTAAATGTGCAAACCCATTTTATCATGAGTACAAAATTGTACAGAGTATTTAAAGTTCTTGCAAGTATCTAGACTAGCAGACTGGAGTGAAAAAAAATCAAATATTGTGTTTTTCTAGTAAATACTTGTGTTATTTTTCCTTTGGAAACATAAAGTCAGTGGTACGTTTGCATACCCAGACTTTGAACAATGAGACATTTTTAAACAAACTATGAACCAAAGATAACTTCATATATTTCAATTCAGTTTTGTTTTTCAACTTTACTTTTAATTCCAAAAGCAGTCATTATTGTCACGCCTTCTACAAGAGCCATGGGTTTGGGAAAAAGGTGAATCCCATCTTTAGACCACAGCTGAGAGAATATGGAAATACACTGTGGAATAGACTTATTTTCCTTTTGATCGAAAACACATACATTGCCTTCTTTCCTTTTTTAAGGCTCTGATTGTACTATGCTTAGTTTAAGACATACAAGAATAGGATGTTGAAACACTATTTACAATTATGCAGAATAATCTAAGAGGAATTCTGTATCTCCAAGCTAGTGGGTTCTGATATTAAATCAAACAAAACACATAAAGGAAACTACAAAATTTAGCTTAATTAAAAGAAAATAAATGATCATTCTAACGGAAAAAAATACTCATCTAACACATGATCTGTTAAAGACGAAACAGGAAAAAGAGGCTGGAGGTATAGCTCAGCGGCATAAGTGCCTGCTTGGCAAATACAAGAGCCTGAGTTCAATTCCTAGTACTGGGGGAAAACAAACAAGAAAAGAAACAGAAAATGGTAACAGCTCCACAAGCAGTCAAAGAATTGTATGTAATAATGGCACTGAAGTGCTTGATTAGAATTTTTTTTTACTTATCCTATCAGTTTTAAATCTGATTTTAGATCAAATTTACCAAAGATTTGAACATACTGGAATCCTTGACATTTCAAGGAAATATTTTAGAAATATGCATTTTAAAAGGCTTAATATCTGAAGATCATTTGACTCACTTTTAAGGATTTATGTCAGAAAACATTTAGACAGTGATATGCAGAGTTTCAGCAATTATATACAGTAAAAAATTACTACAATGTTAAAGTTGAGTAATAATTGAATAAATTACAATATGGATACATTGTGGAATTTAATACCACCTGAACTTAGAATGTAAATATTGACCTAGAAAATGATCCCATTTGTAATAGCTTTGAAACATAAAGGGCACACAATATGATGTGAACTTCTCATCCCTGATTGAATAAATACGCTTGCTTTCTATTTTATTCAGATTGGATTATACGTTAGTTAGCTTCCCATTGCTGGACAAGTTAGCTAACACCCTCAGTTTAAAGGAAAAGAGGTTGAGTTGTCTCACAGTTTCAGGGCATCCCTCCTGGTCAGCTGGCCTCTAAGACAGGAACATCATGGTGGATGGTGTGGTGGAGTAGATACACTTACTTCATGGAGGCCAGGAAGCAGAATGGGGCACAGTGTCAGAGAGGAAGAGTCCTGAGACACGAACTCTCATGGTCCAGCCAGACACACCTAGAAGCACGCTTTACTAATTTCCTGGGCAGCTCCCAATCCAACAAAGATTGACAATTACACCTAACACTAACCATGTATTTATGCCTTCTAATTTGTCTTTAATGATCATCTGTGTCATTATAATATGTTTTCCAGCTATTGCTAGTTCACTCCAGTAATTTAAACTATTGCCATTCATAAAGGCTATGGCAGCATCAGATTCAAATATGTTTGTACACCCTTTGTTATTTTAAAAAAACACAGAAAAAGCTGCTCCTGAACATAGGGTTAAGACATATTTCTCATGCTCTATACAGTAATATCAGTTAGCATTTAAAAGTAAGAAAAAGAAGTGAAAAAGGAAAAATAAAGAGACTGAATCACAAAACCACCCTATTTAACAACTTTTGTGGACTCTCCATCATTCAGAGGCTCTGTGAAGATTGACCTTGATCCAAGGCTGCTTGGAAGATAAAGGGCTGTTGGCTTCTCGCAACAAGTGTGAGCATCCCTGATGTACAGCAGCAGAAATAAGCGAGGCTAAGCACTGTTACCCTTGGCGTGGCCAGAACAAGAAAGAATTGTCTTGCCCAAGATGCCAGCTATACTCGCCATTGAGAAATCCTGCTAAACTAACCTCTCTGAATAAAACACAAGACCCTCACTCCCCAGCGCCTGCTTGGTTTTGCAATATCACCTCTTTCTACTTCTTTCCTGCTTTAGAACCCTCTCCATCTCGTCTCAGTTTCTTTCCTCTCTACCCCATGCCTTAACCATATCAAATTGCTGGCAGTTCTCCTAGATTTCCAAGAAGTATTGAGTTTCTCAACTTTCATTTGGTTTAGATTATTTGTTCTTCCTAGAGTAGACCTTCCTACTCATTTTTATGATTCAAGTTAATCATCTTTGTGGAGACTTTTTTGGGATCATAGATTCCTCCCATTTTACAAAACACTTTATATATATATGTCAGAAACAGTTCTTATTTTGTCTAAATCTTCCCAGTAGAGGTGAAAGTTCTTTAAGGGCAAGGAAGGAACAAAGAAGGAATAACTACTCATAGTTAACCCCTAGCAAAAGGGAAAAAAGTCTCTGTCACATAAAAGAAACTGTACAAACTCTTGTTGGAGGAAAACTAAAACCAAATTTAAAATTACCAGCTCTTTTTACCGGCATTGAAAAAAATAGAAATAAAGTGAATTAAGTCAGTAAAAAGGCCGAGGCAGGAAGATCTCAAGTTGTCGCAAGACAAGCAACTTAGCAAGACCCAAGCTTGATATAAGATTTTATTAAAAGATCAGGCTATAGTTCAGTGGTAGAGCACTTGCCTAGCATACGCAAGGCCTGGGCTCAATATCTTAAGCTCCCAAAAACGAAAAAAATAAATAAAATCAGAAAATACTGACCTGATGGTGTCCAAGGTGTGACTTCAATAAACAAAGAACTGCCATCCCAGAAAGGAGGAATTGTGGGGGGAACTTCCAGCAGGTTCCCTGAGGTGACAAGATAGAGGAGATGGAGCTGGTGTAGGGAAATGTCCTCAGAGATAACAAGTGACAGGTAAATGATAAGCCACAGGGCAAATGACAGGTTGCTAAGGCAATCCTTAAACTTCTGGTTTATTCCCAAATCTTAAGGAAAAATTCTGCCAACTCTCAGCTACAGCCATTTTGTGGAAACTCAGCAAAGCTGACCTTGTTGGAAGAATTGAAAATTGACTTTGAGAAGCTCAAATTTTTGACTATTATCTCTGATAATTTGCCGGAAGACTGAGAAGTGGCAATGACCTAGGACATTTCCCTGCTGTGACATCGAGCTAAACTTGTACGGGCTATTCAACCTCCACGTGCCTTAGTTTCCACCTTTATAAAATTCCAATAGCAACAGTACATATTTCACATGACTGAGTTGAGGGTTAAATAATCATACATAGAGCATTTAGGTCAAATGTATCACATACACTTGATTTTAGACGTAAGATCAAGATGCATTAGAGTTAAACTATTAGAAGTTAAAAAGTTTCCTGTTACAATCTGATCCACTGAATTAGAAGAATAATCAGAACCCTTCATTGTAACAAGAGGTGTATGTTTTTCATTGAAACAATAACTCAAATCATAACATCTTAGCTGGCATGAAATGCTAACTGACTCTTTAACACGTGTACTGTGTTTGTGTGCTTGTGATGCATCTTATTGGAAACAGAACTGTCTTCACGTTTATGTGTCTGAAATAAGTTTAAAATGCACAGCAGAGTGTCTTATCAAAGAAACTGAAATCTCCCAGACCCAGAAGACGATGTCTGAAGACAAAACTAGACCACCATCATTTCAAAGCAAAATTGTTCTGTGTCAAGAGACAGCAGCTGGAAAGGTGACATTTCTTCCTCTGGATTCTCCTGTGCTTTACCTTAAAAGCCTGACATTTTACAGTGAACACGGTGAACTCTCTAGGCTCTCAGTGCACAAGCATGAGAGCATATCAGTGTTTTCTACCAGCCGCGGACACTGAACTGTGTGTTTTCTAATTGTTCTTGAAACATCTCCATTGGACTCTGGCAGAAGGGGGACCTCTGTGGTTGGTCAGACAGCAAGCATCCCCTGAATGATTTATCTTCATCATTTAAGTTTTCTAGGGATGAAAGAAACTTTGGGGGGGGAGGGAATTCCTAAGTAAATATTTTCGAGCATCAAAATTAGATTTCTCACTAACGTTTTGAATGTGTCATCCGAAAGGTAGATGAGGTGCATTTATGTGGGAAGCTGAGCAGTGGAGTAGCCCACAATGAGTTCCAGATGCTGCTGGTATAAAGATCTCTGCTTCTACCTGGGTTTTGGGGTCTCACAGAGCGAGAAGCTCGAGAGGATGAATTTCATTTCAAAACTGAGGGGCTCAGAAGAAGAGGGTTTCCTTACCCTGTCAGGTGGTGCCAGCCCGCTGAACCGGACTGTCGTGGAACCAGGTTTGTGGAGAGATCAGAAGATCTCAGAGGAACTGCATGCACGAAATATCAATTCACCATAGAGCCTGCTACTGTTTTAGTTCTAGAGTCTAAATGAGTGCAATAATATCTCAGAAAACAACCAAAGTCAGAAATCACTTACTGGATGGCTCGTGTTTCGAGGATTTTGTCTACAGAGGACCTTAATGGCTTTTCGACTATTTGTTAAGTAAAAGGTTGTATTAGCCACAAATGCTTTATGAACTAAGTCAGGTACATTCTATGAGAAATTCTCTGTGAATTTTGCTGTTTTCACAGAGAGTTTCATGCATAATAATATGTTTCAATCAAACTTACTTCGTGTAACTCTGCTAAAAAGAATTTCGCTGGGTTGTGGTAGTATGTGCCTGTAATCCCAGCACTCAAGAGGCAGAGGCAGGAGGATTACCATGAGTTCGAAGCCAGCCTGGGCTACAATGTGAGTTCAAAGCCATCCCAAACTGCAAAGAAACTGTGTCTCAAAAAAGCAAAGCACAAAACAGACAAGAAGGAAGAAATTTCTGTGATCAAGTTTACAAGTTTTAGTCACGGCCTCCAATCATACCCATAGATGTTCTCTTACACCCAACTGTCCTTCCCAGCTTTCTTGGTCTTAAAACTCTCCCCTGCTTGACCACTCTGTGTGATCCCATAGAATGAGATCCTCATAGAATGCAGATGTGAGTCTGCTGTGATTCTTTTTCCCCTGGGACTCCAGATTGGCAAACAGTGGCCTGTGGGTGAAGTTCCATCCCTCTGCTTGGTTTTGTAAATAAAGTTTTATTGAAACAGAGTCACACACGCTCATTTGCACATGGTCTCTCACTGTTTGTTTGCTGTAACAGCTGAGCTGAGAAGTCAGTGCAGAAGCTACAGAGCTAGAAAAGCCCAAAACATTACTGTTTGGCACTTAATAGAAAAAAAGAGGCTAGACTTTGCTCCTGAAAACAAAGGATCATTTGTCTTTCATGACTTCAGTCCCCACACCTAGTGTGGTATCTGGAACATAAAATGTTTTTCAAAAATCATCATCCTTTTTTTTTTTTTTTTTTTTTGACTTTTTGAGACAGGGTCTCACCACATAGCTCAGGCTGGCCTTGACTCACTTTGCAGTCCAGGCTTGTCTTGAACTTGCAGCAATCCTCCTGCTTCAGCCTCCCCAACGCTGGGATTACAGGAGTGTGACACCATTCCCGGCTTCCTGCACTTTTATACAAATTTGGGAAGATGATGCTTATTGTAAATTAACAAATAACATGCCTGCCGATGAGTGATTCTGCAGAAGTAGACTGTTACAAACCTGGAGGACAGCCTCTGACACGGCTCTTCGTCTGGCGCTGAACAACTGCACCCTCACATTCAGTTCCTTCTCCAGCCTCACGGCTGTAGTTGAACATTCTGAAGAAGGAGTCTGAGAAAAGAAAGAGGTCGCCAAGAAATCCTCCCGCAAATGTAAAAATGTTTTCATTCCTTATTTTTCTGTGATACGGACCCCTTCGCAATAGCTTTCGCCCACACTCACAGACTAAAGTTTGTAAATCCTTGGAAAATCCCATAGAGGGACAGAAAGTATTGAAGTTACAAAGAGAGTGGACATCCTGACCATGCTGCTCTTATGCTCCTTGCATTTGCCTGGTTTGCATTTGCTTTCTTAGAGGACAAAGAGAGAAGGGGGCGATGTCATTCTGCCTTTAGTGTCACTTCTTCTAGCTACGGACATGAGATACTTGTACCAACATTTGCATTTTAATATGCTATGTTGTTAAGTATCCTATATAACAAATCTCTCTTTGTCAGTTCAATCTCTACCACTGTTCAACTGTCAAATATTGAACACCTGCTAAAGAGTGGAATCTAATCTACATGGTGTAAATTTATTATCAGAAAGCAACCACCAAAGGTCTTGCAAAGTAAAATCATAGAGACTGTGTTACACTTCAGGAACGTGAGACTTTAAAGGGCTCCTCACTCATGCGTGCATGTAACTGCTAAGTACAAGGGGGCTGAGCAAGCAGGGACATTCTTTTTTCTTTTTTACCCAGGCTGGTACGTACCTATAACTACTTTGCCCACCTGACTGGACGTCAAACTTCAGGGGAATGAAGTCAAAGTCATAAATGGAAAATTTAACAGAGGATATCCTCTGATTCGTAACTGAAAGTTCAATCTTTAACCCTAGACCACCAGTACATGTTTTTCAAAAGAGGAATCAGAGGAAGAGTGAATACTGTCATGTAAATCCACCACAATGCTGGAAGAAGTACCCAGAAAGCATGTTGCTGATAACCAAAATCACAGTCTTTTTCTAAAAACAATAGTAAATTGCAGTAAAGCAATGAAGTCTGTAATTTTCACTCCAATAGCCAGGCAATCCGAAAAAGAAAATCAGAGAACAGTTGAATTGTACATCACAAGTGACTCTCTCTGATACAATCCTTTCACTTCACAGATAAGAGAATAAACTAAAATTCACAAGAGAGGACAGAGGCAGAGGTTCTTGGGTTATTTCCCCAGGCTCTAAGCCAAAGGTAGAAAGCAGAGAATAGAACTGAATGCTTCTCTGCCTCTGGGTTTGTGACTTTCTAACAAGTTAAGAGAAGACTGTTTTGTGGTCTCAAGGAAATGATTTGCTTCACTCCTTCTGAACGTGAGGGGTGTGTGACTAACCTACTTCCAAATGCAGAAGGAGGAAAGGAGATATTGCATCCCTTAGGAAATGTCCAATTCTGTTCTGCTCTTTGCTCAACATCCAGTGAAAAATCCTCTACAGTTACTCCTCCTAAGCTTAGTGAAGTTTACACTGATAAATGTTCTTCTTTCCGTCTTGCTTTCCCTTTCTTTTTCTCACAGTCCACAGTCCTCTCTGGGCAGTTGAGGACACCTGCAAAGTTGTCTTTCATCTGTAAACACCAACCAGCCCACTTCATTTGCATGGTTGCAAGAACTGTGCAGGGTCTTGATAGTCTACATAGAAGATCTCAAAAACTCCATCAAAAGACTACAAGAGTTAATAAGCAAATTCAGCAGTGTAGCTGTATACAAAGCCAACACTCAAAACTCAACAGCATTCTTGTACATGAACAACAAACTCACTGAGAGAGAAATTATGGAAATAACACCTTTCAAAGTGGCATCCAAAAAAATGAAATACGTAGGAATCAATCTCATAAAAGATATAAAAGATCTATGCAATGCAAACCATAGTATTCTTAAAAAGGAGATGGAAGAAAATATCAGAAAATGGAAAGACATCCCTTCTCATGGTTAGGAAGAACTAAACTTGTGGCCATACTCCCAAAACTGTTATACAGATTTAATGCAATCCTTAACATACCTTATAGATACTCCCAAAACTGTTATACAGATTTAATGCAATCCTTGACATACCTTACAGATCTAGAGAAAATATTCCTAAAATTCATTTGGAAACGGAAGAAACCTAGAATAGCAAAGGTGATTCTGGGCAGCAAAGACAAGCAGGAGTCACTATCCCTGATTTGAAATTATACTACAAAGCTACTTGTGATGAAATCAACATGTACTAGCAAAAACACAAACCTGTGGATCAATGGAACAGATTAGAAGATGCAGACACAACTACAAAGACACTCAGCCATCTTATATTTGATAAAGGGGCTAAGTATGTTCACTGTAAAAAAGATAGCCTCTTTAATAGATGGTTTCGGAAAAGTTTGCTCTCCACATGCTGAAGACTGAAACTAAACCCATGTGTATCACCATGCACTAAAGTAAAAATGGAGCAAAGATTAAAATATTAAAATATAAACATTCAATCTCCTGGAAGACAAGGAGGGTGGAAATCTTGAAGACACAGGGATAGGCAGAGAGTTCATGAACAAAACACAAACCACATGAGAAGTACTTCAAAGAATCAACAAATGGGATCTCATCTTATTAAAAAGTTTTTACACTTCAAAGAAAATCACCAATAGACTGAAGAGAAAACATATAGAATGTGAAAGAATGTAGCCAGCTGTCCTTCAGGCAAAAGACTTATATCTAGAACATATAAAGAATTGAAAACCATCAGGCTTCTCAAATTCAAAGACCCAATCCTAAAATGGGCATTTGAGATGAACATGCACTTTTCGGATGAAGAAATACAAATGACAAATAAATACATGAAGAAATGTTGAACATCACTGGTCATTTGAGAAATGAAAATTAAACTAACATTGAGATTCCATCTCCCAGAAAGAATGGCTACTGTCAAAACCACTAACAAATATTAGCAGAGCTGTGGGGAAATAGGAACCCTTCCCCACTGTTGGTGGGAGTGTAGACTGGTGCAACCACTGTGGAAATCAGCATGGAGATTCCTCAAAATCTAGGGTTGGAGGTCCCATTCAATCCAGCTATTCCTCTCCTGGGTATTTTCTCAGAAAAACTGAAAATGTCACATCATAGCAATATATGTGCATCCATGTTTATAGCAGTACAATTTGCAATAGCTAAATCTTGGAAATGACCCAGATACCCATCAACCACAGAATGGATAAAAAAAAAATGTGGTATTTTTATACAATGGAATATTACTTAGATATAAAAAAGATAATCTTGAGGGTTAAAGGTAAATGGAAGCAACTAGAGACCATACTCATAAATGAATTCAAACTCACATTTATAAATATTTTGTCTCCCTAGTGTAAAAAAATAATAAAAATAAAAAGCTGAAACAGTAATAAGGCAAAAATGTACAACAGATATTGTAATAATGAAAGGGAAAGAAAGTGTTTATGAGGAAAGAACAACTGGGATTGAAGAAAGGAGAAAAGGAAAAAAGGAAAAATTCTATGTATGTAGGTATATACATATAACTGTATGTGTGTTATATGTGTGTAAGATAGATAACTACACTACTAATCTCTGTTAGTTCATCAAAAACAAAAGTTTGTGCTGCCATTGTTTAATTGTTTGATCACTTTTTATGTCTAGATCTTGTAACCTGAACAGCTATTTCTAAGATAACAATATGCAATATATTAACTAGTGTTAATTTCCTAGTAGCTTTTTGAAATGGTGCATCATTTCTATCCTTTTTTCTGCTTTGCTTTTCAAAATTAAAAAAAAAAAGAATTATGCATGGTCTTATGGAGTTCTTTGCTTTCCTCACAGGAAATTCTAGAAATTTTCTAGGAAGTAAGTGACTTTTATAGAAGCACTAATTTCTAGCAGATGTTTCTCTATAAAGGTGGATTCACCTTTCCCCTTTAAGTTGTGTAAATTGGCAGGTAATTGTCAATGACAGAAAGATTTGGTAATGGCACAGAAGGAAAAATAAAATTGGAATCTGAATTTTTTAGTACATATGTGACTTGCATTGATTACTCTTTATTTCCAAGAAGTAAACAAGAAATGAATCTGATGATGTATATAGCATTAGTAAAAAGGCTTGTTTAAATCAAATAAAAATTTAAAATTTTACTTTTAAAATTGACTCTTATCTCCATGAAACCCAAATGAAAACTGTAGATAAAATAATTGCACAGGTTTATCCCAATTTCTGTTATGTTTGCTTTTAATTACTCATAAGCTTGAAACAATGGAGTTGGCAATTCTCTTTAATTTTTTATATCAGTGGCTCTCAAGTCTAGTGAGCACCAGAGCTTATTAAAACCAGATTTCTGGGTTCCCATCCCTGAAAATCTGCATTTCTATCACGCACCCCACATGTAAGATTGATCCTAAGATAACAATTTGAAAACCACTGATTTAATACCAAAAAAAAAAAAAATTGAATTCTTTCTTGGTATAAGCAGATAACATAAAAGCACTCCAAAATTAGCCATTGGACAAAATTGGGGATTTTATAGATGCCTGGAGGAAATTGGTGTAGGCAATTTCACTTTACCTCTTTTTAAAAAGGTTACTTGGACCAAGTTTGATTTTAGTCACTCCTTCCCAGACAGTCTGCCAAATCTAATTCCCAATACAAGGATATGTGGAAAATGCAACAGAATGTTTATGACAGCAATTGATCTGTGAAGACCTCACCATGTTTTTGGAAACTGGAAATTCACAGCTCAAGTTAGGACAAAGATGCATCATTTTGGTAACAGACAAATGGGAAACACCAAGAGAAGAAGGGAGAGCTCAGCAGTTCTGTTATTAGACACTACCTGGGTGGCACTGTTCCCTTAGCCTTGTTCCCATCCCGTATGAAGTCAAAGTCTCTCCACAAAGCAGTCAAAATAAATATTAGCGAGATAAGAAGGAAGGAAATAACAAGAAAAGATTTATGTAAATAATTGCCTTGCAGCAGCTTGCAATATTATTGCAGTTTTGAGGCACTATAGAAATGGCTCCCACTTCTTTCTTTTCCATTAAAAAATTGTAAACATAAATAATGATCATTTATTTCCACACAGACAGTGTCGGCTTTAACAGTGCA